GGTTGTGCTAGTTGATGCTGGTGGTGGGTTGATGTGCTAGTTGGTGCTGGTGGTGGTTTGATGCGCTAGTTGGTGCTGGTGGTGGTTTGATGTGCTAGTTGGTGCTGGTGGTGGGTTGTGCTAGTTGGTGCTGGTGGTGGGTTGTGCTAGTTGATACTGGTGGTGGGCTGTGCTAGTTGGTGCTGGTTGTGGGTTGATGTGCTAGTTGATACTGGTGGTGGGTTAATGTACTAGTTGATGCTGGTGGTGGGTTGATGTGCTAGGTGCTGGTGGTGGTTTGATGTGCTAGTTGGTGCTGGTGGTGGGTTGTGCTAGTTGGTGCTGGTGGTGGTTGTGCTAGTTGGTGCTGGTGGTGGGTTGATGTGCTAGTTGGTGCTGGTGGTGGGTTGTGCTAGTTGGTGCTGGTGGTGGGTTGATGTGCTAGTTGATGCTGGTGGTGGATTGATGTGCTAGTTGGTGCTGGTAATGGGTTGATGTGCTAGTTGATGCTGGTGGTGGGTTGATGTGCTAGTTGATGCTGGTGGTGAGTTGGTGCTAGTTGGTGCTGGTGGTGGGCGTATGTGCTAGTTGGTGCTGGTGGCGGGTTGATGTGCTAGTTGGTGCTGGTGGTGGGTTGATGTGCTAGTTGATACTGGTGGTGGGTTGATGTGCTAGTTGGTGCTGGTGGTGGGTTGATGTGCTAGTTGGTGCTGGTGGTGGGTTGTGCTAGTTGATGCTGGTGGTGGGTTCATGTGCTAGATGGTGCTGGTGGTGGGTTCATGTGCTAGTTGATGCTGGTGGTGGGTTGATGTGCTAGTTGGTGCTGGTGGTGGGTTGATGTGCTAGTTGGTGCTGGTGGTGGGTTGATGTGCTAGTTGATATGGTGGTGGGTTGATGTGCTAGTTGGTGCTGGTGTGGGTTGATGTGCTAGTTGGTGCTGGTGGTGGGTTGATGTGCTAGTTGGTGCTGGTGGTGGGTTGTGCTAGTTGATGCTGGTGGTGGGTTCATGTACTAGATGGTGCTGGTGGTGGGTTCATGTGCTAGTTGATGCTGGTGGTGGGTTGATGTGCTAGTTGGTGCTGGTGGTGGGTTGATGTGCTAGTTGGTGCTGTGGTGGGTTGTGCTAGTTGGTGCTGGTAGTGGGTTGATGTGCTAGTTGGTGCTGGTGGTGGGTTGATGTGCTTAGTTGGTGCTGGTGGTGGGTTGATGTGCTAGTTGGTGCTGGTGGTGGGTTGATGTGCTTGTTGATGCTGGTGGTGGGTTGATGTGCTAGTTGATACTGGTGGTGGGTTGATGTGCTAGTTGGTGCTGGTGGTGGGTTCATGTGCTAGCTGGTGCTGGTGGTGGGTTGATGTACTAGTTGGTGCTGGTGGTTGATGTGCTAGTTGATGCTGGTGGGGGTTGTGCTAGTTGGTGCTGGAGGTGGGTTGATGTGCTAGTTGATGCTGGTGGTGGGTTGTGCTAGTTGGTGCTGGTGTTTTATGTGCTAGTTAGTGCTGGTGGTGGGTTCATGTGCTAGTTGGTGCTGTTGGTGGGTTGGTGTGCTAGTTGATGTTGGTGGTGGGTGGATGTGCTAGTTGGTGCTGGTGGGTGGTTGATGTGCTAGTTGGTGGGTTGATGTGCTAGTTGATGCTGGTGGTGGGTTGATGTGCTAGTTGGTGCTGGTGGTGGGTTGTGCTAGTTGGTGCTGGTGGTGTTTCATGTGCTAGTTGGTGCTGGTGGTGGGTTGATGTGCTAGTTGGTGCTGGTGGTGGGTTCATGTGCTAGTTGGTGCTGGTGGTGGGTTGATGTGCTAGTTGATGCTGGGGGTGGATTGTGCTAGTTGGTGCTGGTGGTGGGTTGATGTGCTAGTTGATGCTTGTGGTGGGTTGATGTGCTAGTTGGTGCTGGTGGTGGGTTGATGTGCTAGTTGGTGCTGGTGGTGGGTTGATGTGCTAGTTGATGCTGGTGGTGGGTTCATGTGCTAGTTGGTGGTGGGTTCATGTGCTAGTTGGTGCTGGTGGTGGGTTGATCTAGTTGGTGCTGGTGGTGGGTTGATGTGGTAGTTGATGCTAGTGGTGAGTTGATGTGCTAGTTGATGCTGGTGGTGGGTTGATGTGCTAGTTGGTGCTGGTGGTGGGTTGATGTGCTAGTTGGTGCTGGTGGGTGGGTTCATGTGCTAGTTGATGCTGGTGGTGGGTTCATGTACTAGTTGATGCTTGTGGTGGGTTGATGTGCTAGTTATTACTGGTGGTGGGCTGATGTGCTAGTTGGTGCTGGTTGTGGGTTGTGCTAGTTGATGCTGGTGGTGGGTTGATGTGCTAGTTGGTGCTGGTGGTGGTTTGATGCGCTAGTTGGTGCTGGTGGTGGTTTGATGTGCTAGTTGGTGCTGGTGGTGGGTTGTGCTAGTTGGTGCTGGTGGTGGGTTGTGCTAGTTGATACTGGTGGTGGGCTGTGCTAGTTGGTGCTGGTTGTGGGTTGATGTGCTAGTTGATACTGGTGGTGGGTTGATGTACTAGTTGATGCTGGTGGTGGGTTGATGTGCTAGGTGCTGGTGGTGGTTTGATGTGCTAGTTGGTGCTGGTGGTGGGTTGTGTAGTTGGTGCTGGTGGTGGGTTGTGCTAGTTGGTGCTGGTGGTGGGTTGATGTGCTAGTTGGTGCTGGTGGTGGATTGATGTGCTAGTTGGTGCTGGTGGTGGGTTGATGTGCTAGTTGGTGGTGGGTTGATGTGCTAGTTAGTGCTGGTGGTGGGTTGATGTGCTAGTTGGTGTGTGGTGGGTTCATGTGCTAGTTGGTGCTGGTGGTGGGTTCATGTGCTAGTTGGTGCTGCTGGTGGGTTCATGTGCTAGTTGGTGCTTCTGGTGGGTTCATGTGCTAGTTGGTGCTTGTGGTGGGTTGTGCTAATTGATGCTGGTGGTGGGTGGATGTGCTAGTTGGTGCTGGTGGTGGGTTGATGTGCTAGTTGGTGCTGGTGGTGGGTTCATGTGCTAGTTGATGCTGGTGGTGGGTTGTGCTAGTTGATGCTGGTGGTGGGTTGTGCTAGTTGATGCTGGTGGTGGGTTGTGCTAGTTGGTGCTGGTGGTGGGTTGTGCTAGTTGGTGCTGGTGGTGGGTTGTGCTAGTTGGTGCTTGTGGTGGGTTCATGTGCTAGTTGGTGCTTGTGGTGGGTTCATGTGCTAGTTGGTGCTTGTGGTGGGTTGTGCTAATTGATGCTGGTGGTGGGTGGATGTGCTAGTTGGTGCTGGTGGTGGGTTGATGTGCTAGTTGGTGCTGGTGGTGGGTTCATGTGCTAGTTGATGCTGGTGGTGGGTTGTGCTAGTTGATGCTGGTGGTGGGTTGTGCTAGTTGGTGCTGGTGGTGGGTTGTGCTAGTTGGTGCTGGTGGTGGGTTGTGCTAGTTGGTGCTTGTGGTGGGTTCATGTGCTAGTTGGTGCTTGTGGTGGGTTCATGTGCTAGTTGGTGCTTGTGGTGGGTTCATGTGCTAGTTGGTGCTGGTGGTGGGTGGATGTGCTAGTTGGTGTGGTGGTGGGTTGATGTGTATTGTGCTAGTTGGTGCTGGTGGTGGGTTGATGTGCTAGTTGATGCTGGTGGTGGGTTATGTGCTAGTTGATGCTTGTGGTGGGTTGATGTGCTAGTTGGTGCTGGTGGTGGGTTGATGTGCTAGTTGATGCTGGTGGTGGGTTGATGTGCTAGTTGATGCTGGTGGTGGGTTGTGTGCTAGTTGATGCTGGTGGTGGGTTGTGCTAGTTGTGCTGGTGGTGGGTGGTGGGGTGTCATGTGCTAGTTGGTGCTGGTGGTGGGTTGTGCTGGTGGTGGGTTCATTTGCTAGTTGGTGTTGGTGGTGGGTTCATGTGCTATTTGATGCTGGTGGTGGGTTGATGTGCTAGTTGGGTGCTGGTGGTGGGTTGTGCTAGTTGATGCTGGTGGTGGGTTGATGTGCTAGTTGGTGCATAAGCTGGTGTGTGTACTTGGTTCGTCTTTACAAGGGTAGAGTTACAGCTCCTGGTCCTACCTCTTGCTTCTTATATTCTTTTAGCCTCCTAAGCCCTGGCTTATTCCAGTGTGAGTGGGTGTGTGTACTCACCTAATTGTGGTAGCATGGGTCGAATCATAGCTCCTGGTCCTGCCTCTTCACTCGTCGCTACCAGGCCCACTCTCTCCCTGCTCCATGAGCTTTATCATGCCTCTTCTTAAAGCTATGTATGGATCCTGCCTCTACATCACTGTGTGTACTCACCTATTTGTGGTTGCATGGGTCGAATCATAGCTCCTGGTCCCGCCTCTTCACTGGTCGCTACCAGGCCCACTCTCTCCCTGCTCCATGAGCTTTATCATACCTCTTCTTAAAAGCTATGGTAATGATGCTTCCTCTACATCATGTGTGTGTAATCGAGAGCAATGTGAGTACAAGCTAGAAAGTTACATACTGATGGGCCAGTATGAAAGTTTAAGAGGTTTAATCATTACTGTAGCAACTTAAACCAATTGTCACCATCAAATTCTCACATCGGTATATTACAATTGAAACAAAATTTAAATTCTAGATATATTTACGATTAGAATACCTAAAACCCAGATTGTTTATACCATTATTAATATTAATAACTAGTGTATATAATCCAACTATGATAATATAACGTCATTATTATTATTAATAACTAGTGTATATAATCCAACTATGATAATATACGTCATTATTATTATTAATAACTAGTGTATATAATCCAACCATGATAATATACGTCATTATTATTATTAATAACTAGTGTATATAATCCAACCATGATAATATACGTCATTATTAATATTAATACTAGTGTATATAATCCAACCATGATAATATACGTCATTATTAATATTAATAACTAGTGTATATAATCCAACCATGATAATATACGTCATTATTAATATTAATAACTAGTGTATATAATCCAACCATGATAATATACGTCAAGTTAATTGTTACTTTTGTCCTGTTTAATATACCTGTTATATTTAAATTACTTAGATAATGTTGATGTTGATGTAAGTTCTGTTTTTCTAGGGGTCTTCCGAATCAGAAAAGGTTTGTGAATCATTATTAATGTTGTTACTAATCCGCCTGTGATGCATTCTGGCAGTTATAATGCTCGTTAACTACCCCTAGAGTAGTTAGTGCTGACGCTATACCACTAACAACCAAACACGCCACTAATTAGATCAGTAGTGGGGCTGGTTGGGCACTTACAGGCTTGTGATATGTGCCACTTTCATTGTGGGAACTGAAGATTGACGACAGTGACAGGTGAAAGTGATCATGGGTACGGTAACACTGTCACCTTCCTTACCTTATGTTCTAGCTCAGTAGACTATAGCGCAGTGCTTGCCAGCAGTAGTCTCTAACTGTCTGCATAACCTACATGTGTGCTACCCCACTACCTTACATGGTTGTACCACACTAACTACATGTGTACCCCACGTACACTACATGTGTACCAATACCTACATGTGCACCATCACTAGCTTACTGGTGTCTCACACTAGCTCATGGTTGTACCCACACTACCTACATGGTGCACCCACCTACCTACATGGTGTACCCCACTATACCACATGGTGACCACACATACTACAAATGGTGACACCTCACTACCTACATGGTGTCACCCACATACCTAATGGTGTACCACACTACTACATGGTGCATCCACACACTACAGTACCAAGATGGTGCAACACACACTACAGTACCAAGATGGTGCACCCAACACTACAGTACCAAGATGGTGCATCACACACTACAGTACCAAGATGGTGCACCACACACTACAGTACCAAGATGGTGCACCACACACTACAGTACCAAGATGGTGCAACACACACTACAGTACCAAGATGGTGCATCACACACTACAGTACCAAGATGGTGCATCACACACTACAGTACCAAGATGGTGCACCACACTACAGTACCAAGATGGTGCACCACACACTACAGTACCAAGATGGTGCAACACACACTACAGTACCAAGATGGTGCACCACACACTACAGTACCAAGATGGTGCACCACACTACAGTACCAAGATGGTGCACCACACACTACAGTACCAAGATGGTGCACCACACACTACAGTACCAAGATGGTGCAACACACACTACAGTACCAAGATGGTGCACCACACACTACAGTACCAAGATGGTGCACCACACTACAGTACCAAGATGGTGCACCACACACTACAGTACCAAGATGGTGCACCACACACTACAGTACCAAGATGGTGCACCACACACTACAGTACCAAGATGGTGCATCACACACTACTAGTACCAAGATGGTGCACCACACACTACAGTACCAAGATGGTGCAACACACACTACAGTACCAAGATGGTGCACCACACACTACAGTACCAAGATGGTGCACCACACACTACAGTACCAAGATGGTGCATCACACACTACAGTACCAAGATGGTGCAACACACACTACAGTACCAAGATGGTGCACCACACACTATAGCACCAAGATGGTGCACCACACACTACAGTACCAAGATGGTGCACCACACACTACAGTACCAAGATGGTGCACCACACACTACAGTACCAAGATGGTGACACCCACACTACAGTACCAAGATGGTGCACCACACACTACAGTACCAAGATGGTGCACCACACTACAGTACCAAGATGGTGCACCACACACTACAGTACCAAGATGGTGCAACACACACTACAGTACCAAGATGGTGCACAACACACTACAGTACCAAGATGGTGCATCACACACTACAGTACCAAGATGGTGCACCACACACTACAGTACCAAGATGGTGCAACACACACTACAGTACCAAGATGGTGCACCACACACTACAGTACCAAGATGGTGCACCACACACTACAGTACCAAGATGGTGCATCACACACTACAGTACCAAGATGGTGCACCACACACTACAGTACCAAGATGGTGCATCACACACTACAGTACCAAGATGGTGCACCACACACTACAGTACCAAGATGGTGCAACACACACTACAGTACCAAGATGGTGCACCACACACTACAGTACCAAGATGGTGCACCACACACTACAGTATCTACATGGTGCACCACACACTACAGTACCTACATGGTGCACCACACACTACAGTACCTACATGGTGCACCACACACAATAGCACCAAGATGGTGCACCACACACTACAGTACCAAGATGGTGCACCACACACTACAGTACCAAGATGGTGCACCACACACTACAGTACCTACATGGTGCACCACACACTACAGTACCAAGATGGTGCACCACACACTACAGTACCAAGATGGTGCACCACACACCACAGTACCAAGATGGTGCACCACACACTACAGTACCTACATGGTGCATCACACTACCTAGATGGTGCACCACACCACATAGATGGTGCACCACACTACCTAGATGGTGCACCACACACTACAGTACCAAGATGGTGCACCACACACTACAATACCTACATGGTGCATCACACTACCTAGATGGTGCACCACACCACATAGATGATGCACCACACTACCTAGATGGTGCACCACACACTACAGTACCAAGATGGTGCAACACACACTACAGTACCAAGATGGTGCACCACACACTACAGTACCAAGATGGTGCAACACACACTACAGTACCAAGATGGTGCACCACACACTACAGTACCAAGATGGTGCACCACACTACCTAGATGGTGCACCACACACTACAGTACCAAGATGGTGCATCACACACTACAGTACCAAGATGGTGCACCACACACTACAGTACCAAGATGGTGCACCACACACTACAGTACCAAGATGGTGCACCACACACTACAGTATCTACATGGTGCACCACACACTACAGTACCTACATGGTGCACCACACACTACAGTACCTACATGGTGCACCACACACTATAGCACCAAGATGGTGCACCACACACTACAGTACCAAGATGGTGCACCACACACTACAGTACCAAGATGGTGCACCACACACTACAGTACCTACATGGTGCACCACACACTACAGTACCAAGATGGTGCACCACACACTACAGTACCAAGATGGTGCACCACACACTACAGTACCAAGATGGTGCACCACACACTACAGTACCTACATGGTGCATCACACTACCTAGATGGTGCACCACACCACATAGATGGTGCACCACACTACCTAGATGGTGCACCACACACTACAGTACCAAGATGGTGCACCACACACTACAGTACCTACATGGTGCATCACACTACCTAGATGGTGCACCACACCACAATAGATGGTGCACCACACTACCTAGATAGTGCACCACACACTACAGTACCAAGATGGTGCACCACACACTACAGTACCAAGATGGTGCACTGCACACTACAGTACCAAGATGGTGCACCACACACTACAGTATCTACATGGTGCACCACACACTACAGTACCTACATGGTGCACCACACACTATAGCACCAAGATGGTGCACCACACACTACAGTACCAAGATGGTGCACCACACACTACAGTACCAAGATGGTGCACAACACACTACCAAGATGGTGCACCACACACTACAGTACCAAGATGGTGCATCACACACTACAGTACCAAGATGGTGCACCACACACTACAGTACCAAGATGGTGCACCACACACTACAGTACCAAGATGGTGCACCACACACTACAGTACCAAGATGGTGCACCACACCCCACAGTACCAAGATGGTGCACCACACACTACAGTACCAAAAATGGTGAAACCACACATACAGTACCAAGATGGGCATCACACACTACAGTACCAAAGATGGTGCACCACAAAACTACAGTACCAAGTTTGGTGCACCACACACTACAGTACCAAGATGGTGCACCACACACTACAGTACCAAGATGGTGCACCACACACTACAGTACCAAGATGGTGCACCACACACTACAGTACCAAGATGGTGCCCCAAAACATACAGTACCAAGATGGTGCACCACACACTTACATTTCCCAAAAGATGGTGCACCACACACTACAGTACCAAGATGGTGCATCACACACTACAGTACCAAGATGGTGCATCACACACTACAGTACCAAGATGGTGCACCACACACTACAGTACCTACATGGTGCACCACACTACTGCCTTGACATCTCCATCATGTCCTGACATGACTTAGACATGTAGTAGTCAGCTTGTGGTGGCAGTGCGCATGCGCTATTGCTTAACGATTGGTAGCATGTGATTGGCGGGCTCCTTGCTCTTCTTCTCTCTGATTGGCTAAGGGGAACGCATGTCCGCGCATCTCATGAGAGGTGCGCCCTGTATTGGCGCTTTACATCGTAAGCATTTGGGTCAAGAAATTTTGACAGTTTGTCAAAAAATCCGTAATCCCCCGTTGCAAATAAACCATACCCCGGGCTACGTATAATTGGTTGCCCATATTTTGCACCAGGGCACTTTGCCTGGGGTATTGTTTCCCTTTTATGTGAAAAAGTTGCGGTATTTGTCCCAACAAATAGCTTGGCTGTGTTGTGATGTTGGCGTGTTATGATGTACAACATAGCTGGGCTGTGTTATGATGTACAACATAGCTTGGCTGTGTTATGATGTACAACATAGCTGGCTGTGTTATGATGTACAACATAGCTGGGCTGTGTTATGATGTACAACATAGCTTGGCTGTGTTATGATGTACAACATAGCTGGGCTGTGTTTGATGTACAAAAATAGCTTGGCTGTTGTTTAAAGTACAACATACCCGGGCGGGTGTTATGATGTACAACATAGCTTGGGGCTTGTTATGATGTACAACATAGCCGGGCTGTGTTATGATGTACAACATAGCTTGGCTGTGTTATGATGTACAACATAGCCGGGCTGTGTTATGATGTACAACATAGCTTGGCTGTGTTATGATGTACAACATAGCTGGGCTGTGTTATGATGTACAACATAGCTGGGCTGTGTTATGATGTACAACATAGCTGGGCTGTGTTATGATGTACAACATACCTGGTCAGTAGGATGGTAGACAACATACCTGGTCAG